CCCCAAAACCCCAAAACCCCAAAACCCCAAAACCCCAAAAAATTTAGATTTCATTGAAAATACACCACCTAAAACGTAAAATACTCAAAATAATCAACTGCTGTTTCTTTCACTTTGAACTTAGTCTTGGCTTTGTGTTGAATCTTTGTCAGTAGAGACTCTTCGAACAGGTTCTTCTTCAGAATCAACGTTCCATCCAAATCTTTGCTGTATCCGCTTTCGTTAGCATGCACTTCCAGCACAAAGTCAGACTGGCTCATGATCAGTTCTTCGTAGAATGATTTGTCGCTCTGAGTCAAAAACAAGTCGGCGTCAAAAGTGAATACAAGATTAGCCACTAAATGTTGACCACCCTCAGACTTCGACTCTTCAGCAGCTTTGGCTGCAGGCTTCGGTGGGAGGCCTCTTCTGGCCCTCATAGCTGCAATGTCATCGGAGTCATCACTGTCTTCATCGTAGTAGTCATCTCCACTGTCTTCTTGAGGCTCGGCTACTTCTTTGACAGACTGTTTCTGTGTCCTGAGTTGTGCACAACACTCCTGCATTGTCTGAATGAACTGCAAGACTTCGAGGTCTGAGGCTCCCAATGAGTCCATGAGAGGGTTCAGGGTGTCGAAGAGAATGACTACTCCAGTGAACTGTCCAACTTTGATTCACTTCTGCACTTCCTTGGCTAGCTTTGTTAAGTTTGTGATCGCTTCAGAGTCTGAGTCAAAAGAAACTCTGATCAAGTCTTTGAAACTTGCGGCTGGGTCGAATGTAGGCGGACATGTATCACTCAGAGGCACAGAAGTAAAGTCTAGGTCTTCAAACGGAGCACTGAACAAATCTAAGTAACTGAGCTGGCCCTTCGAAGCATAGCTTGTGTAGTTGATTCTCATTTTCTTCATGGCAGCCAAGTAATGAGTGGGAGACTTGTTGCTCATGACTGTGATCACTTGGAAGTTCTAAAGGTCAGATCAAACTTACTTTCTTTAAGTATCACTGTATTAACTCATACAGCATGAAAGAACAGTCTGGAGTGGCGTGGATAGCATGAGTGGCGCCTGAGTCACTATCAGAGTTACTCTGAAATGGAACTCCTAAAATTTGGATAGTTCCTTCAGGCAAGTAATTGTCATTATCAAGTCCTTTCTATGAGCATAAGTTTAGCACAAATAAGTGGTTACCTTCAAGAAGGTCTCCATGTTAATCTAATATTTCAATAAAACTCCATTAAATTGGGGTTTTGGGGTTTTGGGGTTTTGGGGTTTTGGGG